CATTATATGAAAGTATTGGATAACAATCTAATTGAAAACTAGCGTATTTTATTTTGTCCCAATAAGAATTTAAGCAGATAAGTGCATCGTCAAGATTATGTGATTTGCTGACATTTGAATTATATTCCCTTTTCAATGTAAGTCCTACAAGCCAGTTCGATAATGGTGACATTGATCTTTCAATTGGATTATAACGACTATTACCAGGTGTATAACTATTATATTAGATATGCCCGATAATTATTTCAATGTAAATTTCATATTTGTATGTGCTATCAGCTGATATAGATCTGTATGTCAACCAGCTAAATAAGGTGTACTACGTAAGTTTTCTTTTTAATGTTGTGGACATAATTCAGCTGTTATTAATTCATCTTTATCATTATTGTCTTTTGGGCGACGTAGATCTTTACCATCGAGACCAGTAATACAAGACGAACAGCAATATTCAAGTGTTGATTCTTCTTTGAATACAAACCATAAAAATTCGAATAAGCAATCTATCTACTGGAAAAAAATTTACAAATTCCTGCGTGTGAACGCAGGAATCTCAAAAACACCTGTGAATATTGAATATATGCTGCAGGTTTTCATATCACATTATCTTGCCGAAAATTTTCCTGCAAGTTGGGGAGTATAATTGTGTAGGATTTTGTAATACGCTCACTTTTCAAATTTCTTTCCTGCCGGATCCTGGAGGATTCTTTGCTAGGCACACCATGCAGGAGCTTATGAGGCATTTTTAATTGAATAACTTATGTGTTCAAATTCAGACCTTTGTCAACAATTTTGATGCTGAGAATGATACATCTCTTGATTTTCTATTAAATCCAAAATCCGAAGATATTCCAATAATTAAAAATACACAATCATCATTAAATCAACCACTTCCCAAATCAACACAAGATCGTGGTAGGCCAGCATTGCATATTCGGTATCCACAGGCTGTTATTGAATTAGAAAAATTTTTGAATTTACATGCCGATGCTGCACAAGAACGAAGACAAACAGATACTGTACATTATAATGGTATTTTTTTCTTATCCACTTTCTCGTATTTAAATTATTTCTTATTTAAGGTGTAACAACATTACAATTGAGAGATCATGTTCGATCTACATTAAGACGAGCATATCAACGTTTACAGACAATACCAAGTACAGCATGTGGGCGATTATTACAAGCACCAGCTACAAACGTATCAGCATCTAAATATTATAAAAGTATTATTGATGCTAAAATTCCATCGAAACGTAATGACATGAGTTGCACACTTTCGAACGATGCTCATTTTGCTTCATCACAAGTTAAATATGGATATGAACTAGCTGCGTTATATCCACAAGAAATAAATAGTTTATCATGTGATAATAAATGTAAAATTCCAGTTGGTAGTTTAGCAGTTAGTCGTCATCATCAAATAAGACGTTTTTTCCCAAAAGAACAGCAACCAAATTATTCCGAACATGATTTCAAAGACGGACTATATATAACACCATGTAAGTATCTTGAACTTCGTCATAATATAAATCTTAAACAAAACTTATTACGTAAACGTAGGCCGTAGTTCTGATCCAGTTCAACAAAAATCTATTCTCAGACAGAAACGTTCACGTTCAGAAGATAAATCATTATTTAGTCAAATTAAAACGAACAACATAAGAGTTCGTTTACATACCTTTTTTTTGCATGTCTTAAAACTACATGTCCACTAGGCTTTTTAAATGGGTCTATTTGTTAGAGAAGTGAAGGAGAAAAGAATGAATAAATGAACCAGAGTATAGCAGTTATCATGAAAAGAGCGGGTTGCTTTGATTAGAAAAGACAAACTTAGAAAATATCGTAATAGACAAAATATTATATACTTTTGATGTCGGTTCGATTGATAAATATTAAAGTCAATAGTTTTTCTGAGATATGGGAGCAACTCGTAAAAGAAAAAGTGTAAGAGCAATCTCTTGTTCCTGTCACATTCATAAAGAACAGATGTATGATTATGGTTTTCACTTGACTTTAATATACGCTTTTTTTTGTTCATAGTTTGATGAAAAAAGGCTTGAACATATTCATTATTCAACTAGTGGTAATATGCATCTTCGTACATTTTATACTCAATATCTTCAATCAACAAGTTCAATGCACATTCATAATCTAGAATCAATAATTCAACCATTAATTAAACTTGGTAAATCAGTTGCTATTTTAACAACTGATAATGGTCCAGACTGGTAGGGATGTTACGAACCCGAACGTTCGACGTTGGAAGTTCGGGTTCGAGCAAAGTTCGACGTTCGAGTTATAATAGCAGAGTTTAAATCACGCAGTGAAAGTTTTTTTCGTCTTTTCTTCAGATAAATAAGACGTTTCTGCCAATGTAGCAAAGTTTTATCCAAATAGCATAGTGCTAAATTTAAAATTCTACATCAAAACAGGATAAGACTCAGCCTAACAGAGTCAAATCCGGATAAGGCTTAAGCCTTACCCAGCCTAGTAGTTCCGCCGCCTCTGCTCTGGAATGAGATCTCAATGTGAGCAAGGTTGATTTGCAGTGAGAATTATTTTGTTGAACTAGAGAATGAACCATATCGGCTAATAATAGGTTTATTATCGATTTATTATTAATTCGATAATTCGAGATTTTATCGAGATTTTAAATGTGCAGAAGGCGAATGAAGAAACAGATAAAACCATGAAAAACAATCGATTTAACTCAACTTCGTCTATTTCAACACTATCTCATTAAATATTCTAATCGAAACTATTGATGATTGTCAAACTTGCTCATATTTTATCTGATGAGTATTCTGTTGGTTTATTTTTTTGTTATTTGCTCCGATTTTATAATATCACTAATAAACATCTTGAAGCAACCGATAACAATTTTTACTATACCGGAAGCAACTTATCGTCGACATATTTTGCCAAAATACACATACAACTACTTAGACGTTTTTCACAAAACTCGTGATTCAGACATGACGTCGAGAGCAATGAATAAGAACTGATTTTGGTGTTATATTTTTTGCCTACATGCGATTACTTGATAATAATTTAATACACGGTAATATTTGACCATGTAATGTGCGGATAATTCCTCAGACAGTCAGCAGGGATACGTCATATACCTAATTTCATTTCATTCACTATTGAATAATAGACCTTTGTACACTATACAATTGCACGTTTCAACGCACGTGTCAAAATTGTATCTCAGTTGAGAAATTCGTGAAGTCTGTATTTTATCAAATGTATCTGAGTTGAGAAACGAATATTTTCGCAGAAATAATGGTTTCTCAACTGAGATACTTGATTAAAATATGGATTGTATCCCAGTTGAGTCCAAACCATTTTTTGACATGTTCCTGCTGACTGCTTAAGTTTTCAGCCTATTAAGCTGAAGCAGTACATTTTCCACCTTTTCTGCCGCTATTCCACATTATTATGCTTAATTCAGATTCTCAGAAATCGAATCAACGTATATAAAACGTTTATCTTATTCTACTGTAATTATATCATTTTTAGCTTATTATGGGTCTCATTAAGTGCTCAGGCGTTATGAACTGGATAGGACTGCTTGATAAAGTTGATATCAGAGCCATTTATTCTACGAACTACCAAAGATCGATTAAAGAAAATTCTACAACAATACTGATTTGAGTCTAAGAAGCACTTTCTGGCACTAATAGCGAATGAAGGAAAATTATCACAATAGAAGATCGTCATTTAAAATTTTACTTCTGGACAAAACGGAAGACTAGATGATCTTCTCTTCTGGAGAGGACTTTAATAGTAAACACTTTATTAACACAAGGATAATTTTTCAAACACTGAATTGTTTTTAATCGGCTGAAACTGAATTACTTAATAACTGTATCGTTTATATTATATGGTTGGATAAAACATTAAACAGGAACAGAAATAATGATGAGTTATATAACTCATCATTATGGTTATATAACCATTGATAACAGTGTAAACGTTTCTAATATAAAGGCGTTTTTTTCTCTTTAGATTATTTGATTCATAAATCTGTTAACTTATCTACCTGTGAAATCATTCTGTTAAGTATAGTTAAAGTTAAAAGTAGAATAATAAAAATTCTGCGTCTACACAAATAATGTCCACACTATATCAATCTTCTGCAGAAAAATACGGTGAAAAAGAATAAAATTTCATGTTAATTTCCATCAGTATTTGACGCTTTTTTTCAAGTCGAATAAATCTCATCCAGATCTACGTCCGCATGGATAAGTTCTACGTTGCCTCGAGTTATAATAGAGAAGTAACTTGGACAACACGAAACACTGAAAATCACGTTTTTATCTAATCAGGTCCGTGCCAATATCTTTTCAGTTCAAAAATAAATTTTTGGTTAGTTCAATAATTCATTTAGATAGAGACCGTTCCTTCATATAGGCCTGGACTATTTTGACGAAAAACAACCATTTGTAGTAGGTATGCTATCGTGATTATTAATGCCATCTACGAAAAATCTGTTAACTTTCTTAATTTTTTTCTCAGCTGAAAAGCATGTTTCTAATTCTTTTTATTGTGACAGTCGTGGTCAGCATAATCATTTACGTCTATTCTGGATATCTTTTGTGCATTTTTGAGACAAAAAAGTTTTTTTAATTTCTAAGAAACTGTGAGAGACTGACGTCTTTACGCGAAGAAAATATTTTGATTAAAACTTTAAAAAGAAAGACTGAACAGTACAAGATATTCAGAATATCATTTTAAAATTTTTTATTTAGAAAAGTAGTCGTTTCGCTTGGAACGAAGTATCGTCATAACTCTTCACCATCTTTTTGAAACAAATAAATTTGTTGGACGTAAACTTTGACTAGTCTTTAAAAATTTCATCTTGACTCAGTCCAGTAAATTGGAACTGTGAAACAACTATGTAGTTGGGTTGAAAAAGAATTCTTTTCTTAAATTTTTCTTCAATTCTCTTGCATTGAAACTATCAAATAGCCATATTTTAGATCTAAATCAACATAATGGAACTTAATTTATTATTTCGTTTAATTGCATTAAGTATATGTTGTATTTCTGCTCCTAGCCTTGATTACACATTTAAAATATTAATAAGAGTAAATGAATCAACATATTTTATTAATGATATAGATGGTTTATCTACTAACAATAGTTTTATTTATTTATTAGAAGTGTACGATGAACCATATCAATTAGTCAAACTTAATACAAATACTATGAAATCTATTAGTAACTGTGTCTTACCACTACATTATAATGATACTCACTTCACAGAAATGTTTTTCATTTTACCTTTCAATGATGAATTATTATTTATTGGTTATACAATCGATTTAGGCACATCTAATTCTGCTTATATTTTATGGGGAATTGATTTAACTTCAATGATACTAACTAGATTTAAACAAACATTCTCATATAAACAATGGTCTAATTATGCATTTTTTCAAGCAATTCCAACACAGAATAAAATTATTATTAATTTGAGTCAA